TTTCTTCAATAAACATGATTTTCTTACAACTGAAATGCTAACATTTCTACAATAAACATGATTTTCTTACAACTGAAATGCTAACATTTCTACAATAAACATGATTTTCCTACAACTGAAATGCTAACATTTCTTCAATAAACATGATTTTCTTACAACTGAAATGCTAACATTTCTACAATAAACATGATTTTCTTACAACTGACACAGATTTCCCTTTTTGAGTTTAAATGCATCCCAGAATTGTAACTTTCTTAGATCAAAAATAAAAAGAATTTTTAAACTCCATCCCACAATCAACAGAAGGATGGTACTTGGAACTAAACAACTAAAAAACTCTGTTTTTTATTAGATTCTGCTATTTACTTCCATTAACTGCTTTTCAATACATTTGTTCATTCTTGAGTTCAAATAATAGATACTTCCATAACAAGCATTCTCAAATAAATACATATAACATGAACTTTTCCTTATTGTCTAACATGTCTTACCACTGTGTATATAGTACTTACATTTTTAAATTAGTACTGTACAGTGGTAAAAATAGTAGTCAAACATTTACAATAGAAAAATACTGGCCAAATCATTTTTTTCTTTAAAATATAGATAGTTAAACCTAACCATAACATTGATTTGAAGCATTAATAAGTCTTTTATGCTTTAATGACATTGTAATAGTGAAATGTCAGAAAATATTTTCTAAATTTGGAGCTTTTACAAATAAATTGCTTTTAATTCTAGATAGGTATGTTCCTCAAGAAATGTAAAGGATAACATGTAAGATTAAACCTAACTGGCTTACTAAAGGCATAAAGAAGAACATCAGAGAAATATTCTACAAGTTTATTAAAAGATAGGTCAGAAAATTTACAGAATTAATGAAAGTCAAGGAATCTGGTTAAAAGGAAATTAGAAAATGTAAAAGAGCTTACAAAAAACAGCTGGCTTATAGATGTCAAGGTAGTGACAAGGATTTTTTTAAGTATGTTAAACAATTAAATGTTAGATTGAATACTTGGCTCTTAAAGGATGCTGAAGGCACAGTTTTTGTCAAGACTATGAACTGGCTGAACTTTTAAGTGTTTTCTTCTGTTCTGTTTTTATAAGAGAAAATATCAGTATTCCTGGTCTTGAACATTCTGTGGGGAATATTGGAAATGACCCAATTCATGTCAAAAATAAAAAGAATTAATATGTTAAAAATAAACCACCAAAATCAGGCAACATTTTCATCATGGTTTTAAAGGAAGTTAAAGTTGAGATACTGAGCCTCTCCCTTCAATATTTGATACGTCAATAGACACTGAGCAGGTGTATAAGGATTGAAGCATTACTGATATTACTCCCATTTCTTAAAGGGGTGATAAATAATTACACTGAAATTATAAGCTACTTAGTCTTACTTTTATGGTAGAAAACATTCTAGTCTGATAAAAGAAGCTTTGCAAAATAATTTTGTGAAATATAATATCATAAAAGAGGGCCAACATGGATCCACAGAAAGGAAATCTTGCCATAGTTACCTGCTAACTTTTTCTTTTGAGAATGCTACTTGTTACTTAGATGATGAAAAAGGTGTGATCTTTGTGTACATACATTTTGATAAGGTGCTACACAGAAGATTATAACTAACAGAATCTCACAGACATGGGTTGGGTAAAGACTAGTTAATCAGACTGTAGAGTTGTTGAATGAGAAAAATCAAAAGGTTATTAACACAAGTCCAGTGAAACTGGACCCTTGCTACTAGTGAAGTGCCTCAGGGTTCAGTGCTCAAGTCTTTGTCTTTCCTTATTTACATTAACCCATTAGCTGCAAATGATGGATATTTCCATCATTCGCACATACATAACTATAACTCTATGCAAATGATGAAAATAGCCGTTTTATTGTGTTTGATGGCAACTCAGTTTTATCTGTTAGTCAGAAAATGGCAACTGAGCCGCAGTTAATGGGTTGATATTATTGATATACGAGTAATTAGCAAATCAGTGAATGTTAATGATAACATTAAACTCTTGGGTATTTCTCGCCGTATTGAGGATATTGAGATACTACACAATGACTTGGATCAAGTTTAGCAAAGGACCCATAATTATATTAAGTACAAGGTCATGCATTAGGGTTATTATAATTTGCAAGTTTGATAATTTGGCAAATTACCTTTAACTATAGTAACTGTGAGTTAATGAATTTGGGTTATAATCTGGATCACACATTTAATACATTTGGAAAGCCACTCAGTAGTATGACTGAAGAAAAGGATCTTAGCATGTGTGGCAGCTAAGTCATTCATGAAGAAAAGGATCTTAGCATGTGTGGCAGCTAAGTCATTCATGAAGAAAAGGATCTTAGCATGTGTGGCGAGCGTAAGTCATTCATGAAGAAAAGGATCTTAGCATGTATGGCAGCTAAGTCATTCATGAAGAAAAGGATCTTAGCATGTATGGCAGCTAAGTCATTCATGAAGAAAAGGATCTTAGCATGTGTGGCAGCTAAGTCATTCATGAAGAAAAGGATCTTAGCATGTATGGCAGCTAGGTCGTTCAAGCCATCAACATAGTACTCTGTTGCTAGTAGCAAAGCAATGGAATTTTATGTAGTATTTATAAACATATTGATGAAAAATAAAAAGAACTAATCATTTTTCTATAGAAATCACTAGTTAGGCCTCACTTGTAGTACTGTGTACAGTTTTGGTCTCCTTATTCAAAAAAAAAGAAAGAATCCTGACTTATTGGAAAGCTACTGAGATGACAATGAGAATGAAACATAAGTATAAGTTAAAATTTCTTAACTTAAATCTCTAGAGAAAAGAAGGGTTAGAGGTGATCTTATTGTGCTATAAATTATAATCTATAGACAAAAGGACGAGAAAAACATAAGCATACGATCTGGAAAAGACACAACAAGCATATGTAATGAACTACAATTGGCATTAGCTGATGATAGCAATTTAGAAGAGATTAAAAAATGGTATCCATAATTTACTGAAAAAGTATGGGACATTAAATTTTTACTTTTGTAACAGATGGACGTACAAAGACAGCCTTCAAATCTGGTCCCTTGTTATCTGCAAGTTACGTTACGTCAGTTGCATAGATGAAAACAGCCGACACTGCTACAGGGTAGGAAAATGTCCCAATGATAGGCAAAGGCCTCCATATCAAATTGTAGGACAATGTCAATCCTTATAAGTTATATTCATAATAATATATAAACAAACATTTCCTAACAGTCGTTATCAGTTTTATGGCCTTTTCCACTTTACTCAGTGTTTATTTTAAAATTAAATGCAATTAAATTCAAACAATAATGAGTTTTTTATTTTAACTAAAACTTAGTAAAACTAAAAGTTAACACGAAGTCTTAGGACAAGTTTAATTTGTAGTTTTGTACACTTTCACAAGTTGCACGAATCTTGCCTCAATGCCATTGTGAGTACACTAAATTTATTTCTGACAAATATTACACACAATATCACAAATAAATATATGTAAAGAAAAATACAGAGGAAAAGATTTGGTCATACCTAATTTATCTTACTGACAAGTCCCCACATGTTATGCCATATGCTATTTCAGGCAATTTTACAAAACACCACCTATTGCAAATATTTTTTGTTTGTTATTATTATTTAATTGATATATATATATTTCTTTGTTTATATTCTAAACGCCTTTCACGTTAATTCATAAATAGAAGAAATAAAATCACGCTTGAAAATTAAAAGAAAAATTCTGTAAATAGAAAAAAAATGTTGAATAGACCTACATAACCTTTACAAATTACATGTTTGAGGTTTGATTTTTTAAAACACTATTGGGGTATGATAATTTTACCAAACTAATATGCCCCCCCCAGTTGCACAGCGGCATGTCTGGGACTTACAACACTAGAAACGGGTTTCGATACACTTGGTGGGCAGAGCACAAATAGCCCATTGTGAAGCTTTGTTCTTAATTAAAAACAAACAAACAAAAACCAAACCAATATTTCATCAAACATTATAATTAGAAAATTGGTTAGCATTGTCAATTACTCAAGTATTTCTGAAATTATTTCTGTTATTTTCATTTGCCTTAATTTTCAATTCATAATATTGTTACGTCTCTGGTCGTTTGTTAATTTTCCGTAGAAATTCTTTCCGAGAAACTTCAGCGATACAAGTCCTTTCTTAAATAAAACTAGTTTATTCTTTCTCAATTCAACTTTGCAATACATTTAATTTCCACAGTCACTTTAACTTAAACACACGGTATAATTCACCACGATTCACGCACTTTACTACCGCGCTTGACTCAATTGTCCGTCTTTGTCTCTACCTGTCTGTCTGCAATTCTAATTCCGATTAATAATTTCGTTTCGTTTTTCCCTGGCAGTTATTTAGATTTAAAAATAATTATTTCTTCGGAAATAATTACTCATCTGTGGTGCTCGAAGATTTAACAATCCTCCTTCACCCCGCTCGTGGTCTAGGAATATGGGTTTAACTTGAGAAAATAGGAAATTAATGCAGACGAGGTATGTAACTTTAAAAATGTAATCGAGAGAGTAACTGTAGACAATAAAAAGTGAAGAGCAAAGTAAACTAAACTAAACGGCCGATATTGGACAGATGGTCCATCAGGGCGGCGGAGATCGAAAAACCTATGCCGATAATTTAATGTGGGGGAAATGGGAGTACCCCGAGAAGAATTAAGTAGGGAATGCAAAGTGAAGTCCGGTGCTGGGCGTGTATTAGCTATTGAATCTGTTGTGAAGTCTCCTGGTGTTCGCCATGGTTTTAAAGTGGCTCAGTTTCTGGATCCAGGCAGGTGGTGGAGGCGTAGAGTCCTCGGTGTCGTTGGTGAGTGAGCGGAAGGCACAGACAGGTTCATCAGGTAGGTAGAGATCGAGGGAGGTGTCAATTACCAGGGTGTTCGGAGAGCTTGATGCCGATGATATAGTAGAAAGTGGCTTGGGGCTGGGAGGCGGGTTGTTGGTTTGCTGATAGGCGTCGTTGGTAGCTGTGAAGACTTGTGGCTGGGTCTGGGTGCCTTTTTTTTCTCCTAGTAGTGGTGGTTTGGGTTGACATATCTCGTGATTCGGGAGTGGGTAAGGTTTGAGTAGCTTGGTCTGTTGTATTAGGATGGGCGGTAGAGTACTGGTTGGTGGTGGTTTTCATCTGGGTGTTGTGAAACGTGGGCTTGGGGTGGGGTAGGAAAGGTATGAGGTGGGTGAGGCTTGCGGTAAGGTTTTTCTGACTTGAAGTGATGATAATCAAGGAAGCAGCCGTGGGTGAGGATGAAATCTGCTGTATTTTTGGAAATTGTGACAACTTTCATAAACGTGGAGGTTGAACCTGTTTTCTTTGACTGGATACGGTGGACTGCGTGGATCGTAGAGTTGGTTCTAATTTTCAGGACTTGATGTATTTCTTCTGGCGTAAAGGATAGATGAACGTTCCGGAGAAATATTGTGTGGAGATTGGCATTGCTTTTGGAGGGTTTGAAGACCAAGGGTGGCGAAGGTAGCAGAAATCTTCGGATGACTTGGGTTGGAGGGGTATGCCTCCCTTTCGTAGACGTCGGGTGCGTTCAGGGAATACTCGGGCTTGAGGTTTGTGGTGGCGGATGAAGTTAGCCGTGTCACGCGACGAGAAGTCGTGTGGTAGTCCGTCGATGATTAACGGCGGCGTAGGGTAAGAGACAGACTGCATACTGGCATGTATCAGGGTCGATAGCTAGCGAGAGAAATCGTGACCGTTAATAATTTCGCTTTATCTGGCGCACTTATATACAAGAATAGAGCGCGCCTAGCAAATACTGGGTTATTCGTGATGTTCCCCGATCTTTCTAGAACTCATTAAGTGTTACCAGCGTCACGTGACTTCCGCTGTCGTAACAATATATTACAAAGAAGTGAGAAGTTTGTGCTAGAGTACTGAACTCCAAAATGTGTAATAAGTAGAATATGATTGAAAAACAAAAATCTACAGTAAAGTTTAAATTCACACTAACGGAATAATACCAGATTTTTATGGATAATAGTTTTGACATTTCACATGGCTTCTTCAGTCCAACGCAGTGGCGAAGTTGGAAAAGTCCACAGACCGTTTGTTGTAAGCTTTGAAGTTTAAAATCTTCAGTTTGAATTTCCTGTTGGAAGAAATGGTTTTTTAGGCTTCCATCTCCTTTACAAGCATGAAGCCGTCAATGTCGCGGTGTTCACCATCTGTTAGTACTATTTCTAGATCTTTTGCATGCTTTCGCAATTCTGACTTCGATAAATTTCCGAAGTTGAAAATAAATCCAAACCTCTCATTATGTTATTGAAATTGTTTGAACCGTCGATCTAAAGAGGTTACTGCAGCATCCATAATGTGTTTGAAGCAGGAAATTTTAAAATCTTCAATCGGCTGGTCTCGATCTTCATAGGCAAACATTTTCTTTTTTCTACAGAGTTTAGTGTTTGTGAACATTGGCTCAATCTCCAGCTCGTTTGCAATATTTCTTGTATTAGTCGGTGCGCTAACATAGCAATTTACATTTCCTTCCCAGACATTCGATGACGTTAGCTAAGTGTTTGCCGTCATTTTGCAGATCTTTGCTGTCATAGTTAACTTGAAAGAGGATGTCATACCACAATATGACAGCTACGATGAACGTGAAGTTCTTCAACTTCACACAAAGTGATTCTGTTTCACTTCTTGCTTGAGGATCTTTCGCTGTCTTGGCAATCTCAACAAGAACATCAGAGGTTTGGGCAGTTTGATATCGAACACCTTCACACTTTGAACACAGCATTCCTATCTCCTTTACAGAGAGGTCGTGATCCTACTTGTCGAAGACTGTCCATCAGTGAGTTGAGCCAGAAAAGAAAAGATCCAAGCGTTGAATTACTCCAAAAAGAATGAGATAGCTTAATGGCACGTTTTTGCCATATCACCAAGCAACAGGTTGTAGTTATGACATGCACATGGAGTCAAGAATGCTCTTGAACACTCGAAATGCGCCCTCTCAAGCTGGCGCCATTGTCATAACCACGAATGTCACATTTCTTTCAGTAAAACTTCAAATAAGTTTCCACTATGCTTTCTATTACTTCAATAAACTTTATGAATTGCTCGAAACTTCCACTTGAAAGATCTGATGATCCATCTAAGACATATCGGAGAGTTAATGACATTTGCCCTTTGTGACTTATGTCTGTTGTACAGTCTAGTATCACAGAGAAATGGTTTGTCATTCTTATTCACGCTACAATGGCTGTCCACACTTTGTTACCCATAATTAAGATAAGTTCATTCTGAATTCGCTTCCCCGGGTAGTGATCATGTATTTCATCATTTACAACTCTTCTGACATGTTCTTGCAAGACTGGATTGAATTTTCATTCGGGTGATAAAGTCTATCAACAAATCCTCGAAATGCCAAGTTATTGTTGCGTCAGCGAGTCACAAGACTAGTGTGACGCCACGTTTCTAGAACTATCCTGTACCTTGGCGAATGCTCTAGCATTTACTAGATATAGGGTAGTCTGGTATATAAAAGAGGGTGACAACGTGACGGGGGAATAATGTAA